TATTAATTTTTATTAATTTTTATTAATTTTTATTAATTTTTATTAATTTTTATTAATTTTTATTAATTTTTATTAATTTTTATTAATTTTTATTAATTTTTATTACATTTTATTAATTTTTATTAATTTTTATTAATTTTTATTAATTTTTATTAATTTTTATTAATTTTTATTAATTTTTATTAATATTTATTAATTTTTATTAATTTAATTTTTATTAATTTTTATTAAGTTTTATTAATTTTTATTAATTTTTATTAATTTTTATTAATTTTTATTAATTTTTATTAATTTTTATTAATTTTTATTAATTTTTATTAATTTTTATTAATTTTTATTAATTTTTATTAATTTTTATTAATTTTTATTAATTTTTATTAATTTTTATTAATTTTTATTAATTTTTATTAATTTTTATTAATTTTTATTAATTTTTATTAATTTTTATTAATTTTTATTAATTTTTATTAATTTTTATTAATTTTTATTAATTTTTATTAATTTTTATTAATTTTTATTAATTTTTATTAATTTAATTTTTATTAATTTTTATTAATTTTTATTAATTTAATTTTTAATTATTTTTATTAATTTTTATTAATTTTTATTAATTTTTATTAATTTTTATTAATTTTTATTAATTTTTATTAATTTTTATTAATTTTTATTAATTTTTATTAATTTTTATTAATTTTTATTAATTTTTATTAATTTTTATTAATTTTTATTAATTTTTATTAATTTTTATTAATTTTTATTAATTTTTATTAATTTTTATTAATTTTTATTAATTTTTATTAATTTTTATTAATTTTTATTAATTTTTATTAATTTTTATTATTTTTTATTAATCTTTATTAATTTTTATTAATTTTTATTAATTTTTATTATTTTTTATTAATTTTTATTTTTATTATTTTTTATTAATTTTTATTTTTATTAATTTTTAATAATTTATTATTAATTTTTATTAATTTTTAACCCCGTTTTCCCCCCTTAAAATGTGAAAATCCAAAAACCATGAAACACTTATTATTTATGATGAGAACCTACAATTTCAATTCTAAAGTTCCTACCTTTAAAAAAATCGATATTTCCAAATAAACTTTTACCCCACGTTTTCCCCCTTAAAATGTGAAAATCCAAAAACTCTAAAACTCGTCATTATTAATTTGTACTCAATAGCTGCAATTCCAATTTTCATGTTTCTAACTTCAAAGAGAACAAACAAAGTTATACTCCCATACAAACTTTTACCCCCGTTTGCCCCCCTCAAGATGTAAAAATATAAAAACCCTAAAACACGTTATTATTAATTTGTACTCAGTAGCTGGAATTCCAATTTTCATGTTTTTAACATTAAAGAGAACCAAAAACATGAATACTCCCAAATATATTTTCACCCCCCATTTTCCCCCTTAAAACGGGAAAATCCAAAAACCCTGAAACACGTCATTAATAATTTGTAGTCAGTAGCTGCAATTCCAATTTTCATGTTTCTAACTTCATAGAGAACAAAAAAATCGATAGTCCCTTACAAACTTTTACCCCCTGTTTCCCCCCCTTAAAATGTAAAAAATCCAAAAACCCTGAAATACGTCATTATTTATTTATGCTCAATAGCTGTAATTTAAATTTTCATGTTTCTAACTTTAAAGAACAAAGAGTTTCATTAAAAGCTCCCTCCCCCCATTTCCCCCCTTTAAAGTTAAAATTTTCAAAAATCCTTTCTTAGCGGATGCTTACGTTATAAAATAAACCTATGTTCCAAATTTCAGCTTTCTAGGCTCAGTAGTTTTGGCTGTACGCTGATAGGTCAGTCAGTCAGTCAATCAGTCAGTCAGTCAGGACAAATAATTTTATATATATAGATGACGTTTGTATTACTTTAAGCGAGCATTAGACCGTTCTGTATTAGTGTTTTAAATAAATATTGTTGCAAATATGGCGTTTGAAAATAGGATTAGCTGTTATGTTTGCAATAGACACTTTCAACTTTGACTCACTATTTGTTTAGACGAGGACAATAATATAGATGTGCTTATTTTAGAAGACAAGCTGCCGGACATCCTGCAATAATTAACGTTAACGTCTTGGTTTAGTTACGTCAGGCATTTGGTCGTTTATCTTTAGTTCAGGCTGTTCTTTTAATTTAATATTTGACTTTTGTTTTCTTATATACCTTACAAAGTATCTGAATTTATATCTTTAGTGTTTATATTAAATTCAGTTGTCCTTTGTAATTGCTATTATTGTTATATTTTTCCAAGTTATGAGAACATTAATAACAATGCCAAAAAAGAGAAAAGAGAATTGGGTGTTGTGAAAATTCGTGCTAAACTTGATGCCAAAAAAGACTTGCCAACAATGTAATGATCTCTTTATATAAATAAGTAAGATATATTGAGATAAATGGAAAAATGGGTGGGTGGGTGGAACTCGAAGTGCGGCCACCTCCTCGTGGTGAGTTCTGGGTTGATTTAACATTCAAAACCGGTTTTATTATCTTGTAGCTGTCCTAAACCCCTTGAGTTTTAAATCAAACGAAGAGCTGCACAAAGCTGAATTTTTTTAGTTTTTCAATTTCTCACCCCTAAGGTCCCAGCTAAATATTTAATTTTTTCACTAATTTTTATATAGGGTGTAAACCACATAAAACACAATTTTTTCACACTAGCCTAAATTAATGTTTTTTTGGTAATTTTTGACCTGCCTTATTATACAAGCAGAGCACTATTCCTACAGGGGCTAACACTTTACGCGGAAAGGAGATCCCAATCCGATATAAATATACAATATAAAGAGGCAATGCTCCAGGCAAAATAAACATTTAATCCGATCATTATTCATTTCCCTAGATCCTACTTATACCTACCGTATAATGAACTTTTCTTGTAATGCAATAATGTATGACCCTCTATGTAAACTAATAATATTTTTTTAATAAACAACTCGCAAGTTAAAAAGCAATTATTTTCTATTTTTTTGCCAACAATTTCAGCATTTTTTTGATTTTTCCTTTTACATATTCAACCGCAATCACCCTGTGAGTACGATTTTTTGTCTCTTTGAAAATAGTACAAGGGGTATATTCTTAATCTATAAGAATACATCAAAATATTTAATATAAGATATTTCTGTTGAAAATATCTATTTTGTCAGTATATATTTATTGTTTACAATTCATATATTTGGTACATATTAAGTTATATTTGGAAAACTAGTCATAGGATCTAATTTTACCAATAAGAATTTTAAACGAGTACATTGAGTACTATACGATATCAAATATTGAGAGACTTTGACGATGATATTTTTTTTTTGGTATTTTAGCTATTTTTGTTCGGTGGGAATACCTACTTTGACCAAAAAAGATTTGCCGAATCATTATTCACCCTGTAAGGTACAATATTTTAATTATAGTAGTTAAGTAATATTTTAAATACACAGAATAAGCAAAAAAACTTCCAAAAATATTTAAGGGTGATTTATGGTGTCCATTTTAAAGAATTAGGGATTTCTAACTTCAACACCCTGTATCTCAAAATCTAGTCATATGATACGATTGGGCCCATGGAGACTTTTGATGGGGACATCAAGTTATTTAACATATCAAAAATTCAGACATTTTGACGATACTCTCCGTTTGCATAAGAAAAGTGTGTGGTCCTTTAAAAATGAATCTTCTTACCTTGGGATTTTAATGACGTAATCAACCCATTTCAAATTTTGGTTAATTATGATACCGAGGTATTTTGTTGTGTTTTTCATTTTAATTTTAAAGTTGTCATTTATTTGTGTGTTGAAAGAAGGCCTTTGAATTACATTGCTCTCTATGGATCTGCTTTAACACAAAAATAGTTTTGTGGCTATAAATTGTTATAATCTATCGTCTAAAAACTATTAATAATTTAAACATAGTAAGTAGTAAAACGAGGGGTAAAATAACAATAAATTAAGGGAAATACTTAAAAAGGACAGGTTTAAAGAGTATTATCAAGAAAGTATATCCGTTCTTTTTATCAAGTATTGTTTGAGGTTACTTTTGGATACATTTATTGTTTTTTTTTTTAGTTTCTGTAGGCAGTCTATTAAATTTTTTAAACTTTTAATAAAAATTATATTTTGGGAACTTTTAGTGATGGCTTGCCATATATGCAAGTCAGATTGGTTTCTTGTATTATAGTTGTCATATTGCGAATTATATTGAATTTTTTCTAATAGATTTGATGCGATGGTACTATGTCATTTTTATTTTATAAATAAATATCAGTCATGTACTGAACATAATTCTAAACTGAATGGCAATTTATTTCTTTTAAGATAGTTGCAATACTCATCCTTCTGTCCTTTATTAGTAGAATATAAATAGGCGAAATAAGGAGCCCAAATATTTTACATGAGCAGACTACAGAGGTAAAGGGGCCAATTATTATTTGATAAATTACTCGAACAAGTTTTTAAACCCTAACCAAAGGCGATATAGAATGGTTTTAAAAATCAAGGCTTATGAAAATCATCACATGATTGCACCTAAGTAATGCAAATGCTTCACAAAACAAAAAATTCAACGTCCTAATACTATTTTCGGCTCTCGGTCTTTCGTTCCAAGTTAAATCATAACAAATAACAAATAAAGCATGTTCTCTCATGAGAGAATATAATATAAGTGACTCAGAAATAAAACTAAAAATATATCGAAAAAACGGTTCTACTATAAAAACTTTATATCAAGTAATTTTTTTCCAATTTAGTACATTTTCCAAAATTTTTCAGTACCTACAATTTCAAAAATCATCGCTGTAACACTGATGGTCAGTCGTCCGTCGTCTCCGCTTTAAAAAACTTGTTAGTAAATAAGTTCACATAAAATTAAACGTTATATTATTCCACTAAAAAATGAACATCAGCAACGCATCTTCTCAAGTGAAATGGTTGATCATTTAAGTCTACGTTTACCTTTTCTGAGTAACTTTAAAAATAATTGTTTTGATACTTACCAAATCAAACGACTGGTTAATTCAAAATAATGGCAATTACAGTGGTATAATAAATATCTAATAGTTTAAATTTTCAAATTTAATATATATTATTTATATTAGATTAGATTAGATAGTATGTAGCAAGAGGCCAGGCACATTTGTACTTTATTATACAGATAGATATAAGGAAAGATAGAAATCATGATTTTTTTTTGATCTCGAGTTTTCAAAGGATTTTTCCGTTTTGATTATTTTTGCAATGATGCCTGTGTGTGTGTGTGTGTGTGTGTGTGTTGGCGCGCGCGCTTGTGTGTGTGGTGTGTGGTGTGGTGTAATGTAGTGTGTGTGTGTGTGTGTGTGTGTATCTGTGTGTGTGTTTGTGTGTTTGTGTGTGTGTTTAACTGTAGGTGTGTTTGTATGTAGGTGTGTATGTGTGTTTGTGTGCGCGCGCGCGCGCGCGCGCGTGTGTGTGTGTGTGTGTGTGTGGTGTGTGGTGTGTGGTGTGTGGTGTGTGGTGTGTGGTGTGTGGTGTGTGGTGTGTGGTGTGTGGTGTGTGGTGTGTGGTGTGTGGTGTGTGGTGTGTGGTGTGTGGTGTGTGGTGTGTGGTGTGTGGTGTGTGGTGTGTGGTGTGTGGTGTGTGGTGTGTGGTGTGGTGTTTGGTGTGTGGTGTGTGTGTGTGTTTGTGTGCGTGCGCGCGTGTGTGTTTGCGTTTGTATGTATGTTTGTGTGTGTGCTTGTGTGCGCGCGCGTGTGTGTGTGTGTTTGCGTGCGTGTGTGTTTATGTGTGTGTGTGGTGTCTATGTTATGTGTATTTGTGTGTGTGTGTGTGTGTGTGTGTGTGTGTGTGTGTGTGTGTGTGTGTGTGTGTGTGTGTGTGTGTGTGTGTGTGTGTGTGTGTGTGTGTGTGTGTGTGTGTGTGTAAGTGTGTGTGTGTGTGCGTGTGTGCGTGTGTGTGTTTGTGTGTGTGCGTGTGTGTGTTTGTGTGTAGGTGTGTTTGTGTGTAGGTGTGTGGGTGTGTTTGTGTGCGCGCGCGCGTGTGTGTGTGATAAAAAAAATATAAAATTTTAACCTTAAGTTTTATTTTAGCCTGACGGGAAATGATTAGATTTTACAAAGTCGGAACATCTGGGGGGGTACTTTATGGGGGGCCGTTTTTATATTTTATGGAATATATCTGTTAATTATGTTTGGAGAAAAAAATTAATTAAATAAAATTTACTTCTAATATTATTATCTATAATTTTTGTCTTATGTCAAATTTTCCTGAAATAGTTTGTATTCGAGAAATTTGACAAAATGTGCAAAATTCTGATTCTTAAGAAAATTGTTGAACTAAAAGCTGTTTGCGATTCCAATCTCTATAATTTTTGTTTATACATGATTTTTTTAAAATGGACCGTAATGGAGTATCTATAAAAAAATGTTTCGAGGTAGATGTATGTGGAAAATTTATATATTTGTTTTATCCTCTAAACATTTATAGGTGTTGCAATAGGTTGTACAAAATAATCGAAAAATGCCTATAATAACTAGATAGGAAAGTCATGTGTTGGACACATCAGATTTTTATTTTTGTAGTGCAATAAAATACGTTTTTTTCGTAAAATATAGGTTCTTATACTATTTTTCCTTTCCAAGTTATACATTTTTTAATCTGAAATTCGCCTTAAGGCCAAGTTCAATGACAAGTGAAGGCGACTTTTTTATCACAAGAAATACAGCTCTGAACGATATTATTTTCAAAAACTGTTTTCATAAATGGGTTCAAAAAACTGTAAAGAATGATGGAAAGTCCATGGTTTGTTTTACTTTTAATGCATAATATTTTAATAAGCGATATTTAACAAATATTTAAAAGTTATGGACTTTCCATCATTTTTTTATAGTATTTAAAAGTTAAAACGCAAAATACATTCTTTTATTTTTGCCTAATTATTTCAGGATTCTTGTGATAAGATTTAAAAATGTAGGGCCCATAAGATGCTACCATCTGAACAGACGGAATAGACACTAAATTTGAAAAATTGCAACATCGCTCCCTATGCAGACGAATGTAAAATGGCTTAGCCCAATTTGACCATGTTTCTGGGTGAGGGGCGAGGTGCTGTGCGGGGAAAGGTTGCAAGTAAATAAATTATTCTATAAATGGTATTTTCTGTTTGGAACACAAGCATGTTTGTTTTGAAAGTTTGACGTTTATGGTTTGACGTGTCATTTCAATTTAATGGACTTTAATAATTTAAAAGATGCAATGTACTTACTTATATTATTTATATATATTATTGTAGATCCAGGTATGTTTTTAGTTTTTATTTTATTTTTATTTTCTTTATTTGGCTAGTTTGCTAATATCACAATATTCAAATTTAGTAAAAAATAATGTAATAATATAACAATTATTTTAATAACATTCTAAATAGGAAATGTAATTTAACTGCAATTGTTTTGATAACAGTATTTGCATATGGTCTGTGAATTTCATCTGTTTCCGAATAATTACCCTTAAATATTTGAATTTTTCTATTAACTGTATAGATTTTCTTTCAATTTCCTATATTGTTTGTCCACAAACTGCATATAGTTATTACTTATCAGCTTATATTTTGTTTTAGGTACTTGTGTTGATTTTTAACAAATGATTTCAATATCATTTATAAACATTTTGCAGAGTTTCATTGACAATTAACTCTTACTAAGTTATCTGAATCCTTACAACTTACAAGAAACATAGATAAGGATATCATAGGCTAACAGGTAAATGTCATATTGATTATTGCGACATCAAAAATCATTATTATAAATTAAAAATAACAGGGGACCTAATTTTCTTCCTTTGATGTGGTTAATTTCTTCTGATCAGGACAGCGATTCTTTTGTGCGAACTCGACACATTACATACAGAATAGAGAGAGACATTACATTAAAATCGCTGTCCGTCGAACAAAGATAGGAGTCTCGATAGGAGACGTACTGAAAGATGAGAATTCCACTACATATGTTATTTAATTTTAATCTCTCTGATCTGATACTTACATAATCTACATGCTACCCCAATGCATGCTTTATAGCATAGATATAAAAACCACCTTTATACAAATACATTTTAATTTTTTTATCGATTGGTTTTGATCAACAGAATCAAGTTCATTTTAAAGAAATACAATTAATTTTTAATTGTACATATGGCGGGTTTGTACAATAGGCAGTTCAAATGTAGACTTAGTTTAAACTGTGAACCTTGTTGTATACTCATCGGTTATTGTTAAACATAGTTTTAAAAATGACATTTGTTTTTGAATATAACTAGTTAAAAATAAAACTCTTGTTAGTTAAAATATGTTTAGAATATTTTTTGTACAACCTGCCCATAATGTTTTTTGTAATAATTAAAAATCATAATATTCTTGTAAGGAAGTTGGAAAGCTTAGGGTTTGATCAGTCGCTGTTGATATTATTTTCATCTTACCTAAATCATCGTTTTAATTATGTCTTTTACAACGGATTTTCATCTTCACCCCTCACAGCAATATCTGGAGTTCCACAGAGCTCCAATCTGGGGCCACTATTATTTGGTATATTTATAAATGACTTGGCAATAAATTTAAACTGCTGTTCACTGCTGATTTAAAAATATTTACCTCAATCTCATCAATTCAAAACTGTTACTTTTTACAGACCCAACTTGGGAATCGTTGAAAATTGGTGTAATGAAAACAAGCTGTTTATGAATGTGTCTAAATGTAAAGTATGTTCCTATACTAGAAGTAATAACAAGGTGGAGATTGATTATTTATTTAACAGCCTACCTTTATCGGACTTGTGCACAAATTGAAGATTAAGGTATATTATTCAACCAAAAAGTTACTTTTTCGGATTATATTGAAAATACCGTTGCTTCTTCGTTGAAAAGCTTAGGGTTTTTAATTCGTAATACTCGTACTTTTACAAACTCTTAAAGCTTGGAGATACTTACTTTTCTTTAGTTCGTTCCAGGCCAGAATATGCATCTCTTGTCTGGAATCTTATTTACAATATTCATAAAAGATCATTGGAAAATGTTCAGCGGCGATCTCTCAAGTACCTTTCTTTTAAAATAGATGAGCTGTATCCCATTCGAGGTATTGAAGAATCTCTGCTTCTTTCGAAAATAGAAGGGTAGTTTCCAGTGTTACATTTTTTTTAGAAAATATTACATAACACTATTGATGTACTATTTTTGATAAATTAAATAAATTTTAATGTTCCCCAAACAGCCATTAGATATCATAAAACATTTTATACAGCAAGTATTTGAACGAACTTAGGAAGAAATTCACCTATAACGCTAATGTGCTCAAATTTTAATTAATTTTGTTCTGATTGGGATATTTATTTCGACCATTAGTTGTACTAATTTGTAGCAAATGTATTTAGGATTCTTTTTTTTCTTTTTTTTTTTTGCTGTTGCTAAAATTATTTTATGTCGAAATATTATGCTTAACATTTATTTCATGTATTTTGTTTTGTAAATGGATTAATTTGTTGGGCAATAAAATTATTTTTATTTTAATAAGCAAAAAACTGTTTATTTTGATGCACCTACCACCTTTAAAAGTTTGTCAGTATATTAACGAGAAATCCTATATAATTCCCAAAGAAAAATATTTTTGGAAAAAATTCCGAATTCTATTTATTGATATTTGTTATTTTTTAGGTTCAATGACTCGAAACATGATGATCAGCTACACCAAGAATATCCTTCATACTTAAAAAAATGGTACAAGATTAAGCAGATTTGATGCTATGTCATATTGTGGTGCGAAGACGTGACTTGTATAAATTTGGGGTATCAGTTGATAGAAAACAGTACGCAAAAATAAATTTAAATCTGCAGATGCATCAGAGATAGCTATATTCCATACCACAATGTCATGCATGAAGTCTATGAGATTTCACCGGCTAAGTATCATTCCTCTGTAATGTTTTGTATCATTAGAAACACGCAACATTGTAAACAATTATGACCAGGGTTTTCTGACCTTTTCCCTAGGTCACAGAGAATAAATGAATACTAAATAATGTATAGTAATAAAGACTGAAAATATATATACTTTTAAGAGTTTTATTA